CAAACATGGAGCCCTTCACACCTTCTAAACCACCTCAGGAAGGCTCCAAGGTGCAGGCAGAAGGCGACAGAGGTGCGCGCTTAACGACAAAGAAGTCTACCTAAGGGGAAAACAAGGGTGGAGGGAACTGGCTCCGGAATCGCCAGGGGACCAGCGTGGGAACACGCGGCCACGTGGGGGGCGCCCCGGAGGATCTGTGCTCTTTGCTGTCAGAGCAAGACAAAGGTCACCAGTGGCTGCCTGTGGGCCTCGAGGGTCAGCTGTCTCCTCAAGACACCCCCCCCTTCTCCCACTGCACCCAGGATGGGGACGGAGAATGGAGATTTCAAACCAAAGCATCATTTGATGGCTTCTGTCCTCTGGTTTGTCCGTCCGCCACACAGTGGTATTTTGGCTCTACTGGGAGAGTGAGCCCCAGTGAGTTTCTCGTGCATCTGGGGAAGAAGTGGGAACACAGAGCCCGATGGAGAGTCTCTCGTGTCCTTCCACACTGCATACTCCTCAGGGGACAGCAAGAGTAGAAGTCCACGGCAGCTGTGTGTGTGTGGGGTGGGGTGTGTGTGTGGGGTGGGGTGTGTGTGTGTGTGTGTGTGTGTGTGTGTGTGTGTGTTGTCTACAACATGCCTTAACTCTACAGCCTACTTCCCGCCCAGTAAAGGTGGCTTAGACACTGGCTTCTCATCTCCTGTGTGCCTTGCTGGCCCAGGGCAGCTCACAGGCGGCCCAGACACACAGCCATGGTAGACGAGCCTCTCTGGTTGTAATTTAAGATTAACATGAAACCTTGGGTCTTGGCCCAAACCAACGGGCCTCAGCTGGGAACTGTCTGGGTAATGGATTCTGGTGGGGGTCTTAATCTACCTGCTGAAGTTGATGGATTGCCCCTCTCAGGTGAAGAAAGACAGCCAAGTGAAAACTAGACTCTGAGAGCCAGCAGGTGTGCACGGGTTCCCAACTGCCCTCCTGTCCCCGTCCTCCCCCAAGAAGGAAAGACCATAAGTTCCAGAGGGCGCCATCCATGCCCCGTGGACTGGGAGGCAGAATAAGCACAGGAGAGCCTCAGCAACTGCCCGCACCACAGGCCTTTGTCAGTACTGGCCGCTGGCCTCCTTAGGATGAGCAGGGGCACCCCACATCTCCAGGGGGATGAAGCGGGTGGGGAGGGGAGTGAGGCATTTACATGTAAAGGCCGAAAAAGGTGGAACTGAGGTCTCGGAGCTCGGCACCGGTGGAGAGCCAAGGACCCTCTCCCCAGCACACTTCCAATCCAGCGGAGCCACTGAGCAAAGAGACCAGGAGCCCAACCTCCCGGCTCTGCTGCAGGCTCTGGCAGAGGCCCCCACAATGGTGAGTGTTAGGACACAGATACATGACCATGAGGGGCTGGATGAGTGCCAGCCACTGTTTAAGACCAAAAAAAAAAAAAAAAAAAAGCCCAAGGAATTCCACCATGAACACTCTGCAGAAGTCCCCTGGGGGTCCAGAGGAAGAAACGGAGCTTCCATCTGATGCCCTGGGCTCTCCAGCCTTCCCCCTCTCTGCTCTACCTCTAGGAGGCGGAAAGAAGAATACAGTGAATATTAATCTCATTTAAACACTGGCATCGCACAGTAATCAAAACTAGACAATTCCAGGCAACAGGGATAGTATCGCCAGGCTTCCGCGATTAGCCCAACCCTTTCTTGCGTCTGGATTAGAAATCATCCCGGGCTTTCCGAAAGTTCAGTCCTGACACAGCAGCATTTGGGATCAAATGCTCGGGAACCAGAAGTGTTTCTGGACTTGGGATTTTCTCTGACTTTGGAATATTTTCACATACATAATGTTTAGAGATAGGTGCATATACATAATATTTGCATATGTTTTAGGGATGGGGCCCAGATCTAAAAGAAAAATTCATTTATGTTTCATACACACCTTTTACGCATATCCTTAAGGGAATTTTGTACAGTATTTTAGTGCACCTGTGTTCTCACGTGTTACATCACATGAGGACAGGTGTGGGGTTTTCCACCTGTGGCATGAGGTTGGTGCTCAAAAACTCTCATGTTTTGGAGTATCTCAGATGTCAGGTTTACAGATGCGAGATGTTCCGCGGGTACCAGCATTTATGACATCAAGGGCAATGACCCCGGCACTGGTATGAGTTCAAATGGTAAACCAGAAAGCCACRTCACTGCTTTTCTCCTGAGGCCACGGCTCTGTTTCCTCCAATATGAGGAAGAGGAGGGGGATAAAGCCTCTGCTGAATGAGAGAGGGCAGGGGACCCGCAGGGAGGCCACTTCAGTGGGTGCAGCAAAAAAAATGCAACTTTGGGGGGGATCTCCCTGGCTGATCATAAATAATTAGTCAGGAAACCAGGATGGGGTGGGGTGGGAAGCCCAGCAGGGACAAGTGAGGCAGGCTGTGAGTGAGAAGAAGCCCGGTGCCCTCCCGGGGTCAGCGCATCTGGAGCGGTTTCTCTAGCAGACAGTAAAGAACTCGATTACATCCAGTTAACTGGGCTCTAAACTGATTATGCATGTGCCGGGCTAATGGATTACATTAGCAAGAGGAAAAATAACATGTAATCAATCTCCATTTACTACAGGCCACACCAGGGCCTAGAGGAAAAGTGACTCTCAAAGCACCTCCAAACCCCACCCCGAATTCGTGGATGGACGCAACACAGTGAGAGGGAGCCCCCTCAGTGGCAAGAGAAGTTTGTCTTAGTCACACTGAGGGATAAATGGGCTCAGGGCAAGCACTGGAATGATAATGCTGTCTGCATAGTCCAGGAAATGAGTGGGGGAGCTCTGCACCCCCAGCAGAGCCTCAGCAAGCAGGGACATTCATTCCCCAAGGACAGATGAGGCCGCCCTGAGGACCTTAGGCTCCTGGTGTAGGAAGTGCTGCCCAGAGCCTCAGGGGCTGGTCACCCTGGTGACGTACAGCTGAACACCCTATGTTGGCATCTTTCCTTTGGATGCTGCTTCCCAGACTTGACCCACATGCCAACACTTAAGACCCCTAGACCCATTCATTCCCCGTATCTTGAGCAAGAGCATCCGCCACCTTAAAAAAACAAGACAGAAACTAATAAGGCCCAGGAGGATGCTCAGGAAAATCAGACTGCTCCTTCCTAACCACCCCAGAAGCACCTCACCCTGACTGTCCGTGTATGATCCATGGACATGGTTTGGGGGACAAAAGGGATATTCTTAGCAAGTCCTCTGGTTCCCAGGTCCTTCAAAAACAAAGCCGAGGGCCCGACTTTCCGTCAAACCTCTGGCCACGTGCGGAATTCACCGTGCACATTTTAAAACCTGAGCGGCAATCTTTGCCCTCGGACAGAAGAGGCCAGCTTCGTGGCACCTCTAAAGGACCCTTCATCAAAGTTGTAGACAATCTTCAATGGCCACTCTGAGCCCTTTGTTCAAATTTTACTCAGTTGGGTCCTTTGGAAATTCTTTTTTCCACTGTTTTTTCCGTAAGCTTTTCCCGAACATGTCCACACCACCCAGTGGCCCGTCAGATCTCCAGTTTCAACTGACTGCAAAGAGCCTTTTCTATCAATGGTGGCACAAAACTAAGCCAGTTCAGTGAGACGCTTGCTCACTGAAGATACAGGAGTTGGCTGCGTGCTGTCCAGACCTTCCCAGTGCATGACAGCTGGAGTTAGCAGACAGTTCCAGAACATTCTACCCACACTTCCTCACTCTTGCTTTCTTTTTTTTTTTTCTCTTTTTCCTTTCCCTAAAATGGTTTCTCGTCTGTGGTATGAAGGGCTCCCACCACTCTGAGAATGGGTGACGACAAGATGAATTGTCTGACCCAGCATAGAGCTGTGTGGACAAACTTCCTTACATGGGGGTCTCCATTTAAAATGACAGTAGAAGAGAGGAAGGGTCACACCCAATCAGGGCCAGCAGAAACAGGACCCTCCTTGGCCCACGGATGTAAGCAATGGTGTGAAAGGAAAGAGGAGAGACTGATAATAAAAGTGAGGAAAATGGAAAGAGAGCGTGAGGGAGTGGAGGGCATGTGGAAGCAGGCCCGGGAGATTTATGGCAATTCGTACCTGATTGTTCATACTAAAGCCATTATGGGATGATTAGAGAAAAAGGTGAGGTTTTAAGTCCAGTGAAAATCAATAGAAACGTCTGGAGCAATCCTGCCTGCAACTGAAAGGACTATTTACAGTATCCGGGGCCCCTCCTCCTCTGTTACCGCCCATGGAGTCCAGAGGAGGATGGGGGAGAGGTCAGACAGGAGGGGTGGACAGGAAAAGGGGAAGGGGACAGAGGACGGAGGGGCAAGAGGCCCAGGGGAAGCCTAGAAAAAGACAGGGGAAGGAACAGAAAGGGACATCAAATACAGGAGCAGGGGAAATAAAGAGCCAAGGGCTCCTTCCCTGACCCTGCTCTCCCCAGCATGTCTGCAGCCTTGTAGCCTACCGCAGGACTTGCTCACTGTGTTCATCAGTCACCTCCACCCCGCCCCAGAAAAAGAACAGAAGCTTTGTGAAGGCAGCGACTGCGTGAGACTACTGTATACGCTGACCTAAGCGCATGCTCAGAGCACTTGGTACGCACCTCTGGTTTGCAGAAGGTGCTCAGTGTCTGCCTGTTGGCTGGATGAGTAAATGAAGGAACCATCCTGGGGACATGTCCAGCAGAAAAGAAATACAGAGAAGGGAGCAGAATGGAAAACAGGAAGCCTGTCTTCTGAAGGAGAAAGATCCATCACAGAATCGGAGGGTGAGCACGAAGAGCCAAGTGTCAAGAAAGCCGGGGCAGAAGGGGCACCCCACGATAGTGCTGGGCTGCTGTAAATTAGACCTGCCCCCCGAAATGTCCCCCAGGACRGGAACCTTCTGCCCCTTCCAGGGCCAGAGTGCCATGCAGCATCCAGCGGGAACCCTGATGGGGACTGTCCATCCCTCTCCAGTGCTCCCCCGTCTCTACGCATTCACACTCCATGAGGTAGCAGCGCCTGGGCCCCTAGGAGCCMGTCTTACCTTGTACAACTTCAGGCTGGCCTCGTGCCTGGAGTTGACCGTGTGCAGCCGCAGTTTCTCTAGGCTGTTGGTGTAGTAGTCGCAGGCGTTGCACTTGAGGTGCACAGGGTTGCCGATGGCCACGCACTTGAGCCTCCACTCGTTGGCCTTGCCACCCTCCTTGATGTGGGCCACCAGCTGGTACTTCTGCACGTGCTTGTCTGTCTTGCAGTGCAGCTGGAAGTTGGCCTTGAGCTGGGTGTTGTAGCGGCAGAGCTTGCACTGGTACGAGTCCCCCATCACAGCCTTCCACTCGTCCTCTGAGAGGCTGCGCTCCACGTTCATGTGCAGCCCCAGCATGTCCARGTTGTCCGTCGTGAACTTGTTGCAGACGGCGCACTGGAAGAGCTTCAGCGACGGGTCGTTGGTCTGGATGAAGCTCTCGCCCAGGTTCATCAGCTCCTCCGACACCAGCTGCCCACCCCCGAGCCGCATGTCTAGGGGGATCTCACCGCCCACTGTGGGAAGGACAGAGGAAGAGAGTCAGAGGACAGGCTCACGGCAGAGGTACCACCCAGCCCTCCGCCACCCTCAACTGGGATCCAAGGAGACCAAGATCACATTGCAAGTGTTACAAGGTGTTACTAACTGGAAAACAAAGTCCACTCGCTGTGTTTGGCTCTCTCCTATGAATACTGTGGGGTTTGTGGAAGCCTTTATGTTTTCCCTCCTTAAGGAAAGAGGACCTAGGAGAAGTTGCGCACCATCACCTCTTGAATTACCCCATTCATTCCCTCTCTCAGGATCCAGGGAAAGTCAGACATCAGTGTCATTCAGTGGGTATAACATAAGACCCTCTAGAACTAGAAAACAGTACGGCTGCAACCCATGACCCAAGCCTATGTCCAATCCCCATGGAGCCTCGGATTTATCTAAAGCAATTCTAACGTAACTTTCTGCAATCAAGGAACTAACTGTTTCATAAGCATGCGGTCCCGGGCATAGTCACCAGCCCTGTGTGGCTAAGGAACACTTGCAAAGTGGCTACTGCCATCAAGGAAAAGAATTCCTAATTGTAACTAATGTAAATGTAGAAAGCCACACGTGGCTAGTGGCCCCCATACTGCATGACACAGTTCTAAAGTTAAGATTTCAGGAATGATCTCTAGTCTTCACCAGCTCCCCGAGTCAATGTCCTACCTGTCAGTCAATGCTGCCAGTCCCTCTCCCACCTTACCACTAGGACAATCTCCCTTTTCTGAGYTTCTGCACCATGAAAAACGTAGGTCTACTCTAGGCCACATCATGTTCTCTTTGTCAGTCATGGATGATCACATACAGAGCCACATAACAGCTGGCCTCCCTTTCAGGGGGCAGCCTTATCCTCGTTGACCCTCTACCCAGTGCCCAGCTCACTATACCAATTCCCAAATATTTGCTGGGCCAGATGGTCTCAGAAAGAGCCAAAATGATGCATGTTCGGGAAGCAGGTTGAAATGGGCAGTGAAAACTCCAAGGTCAGCTCCCAGTCCCTGAAAGGGGTYTGAGAAAGACTCCCTCCGTCTCCAGGTTCCTTCTCAGTCCTTCACTGCCCCATATCACCTGGGATCAGCTCACCTCTACTGGTGGTAAGTGAATACAGGAAGCTCTTATTTACATCAGAGAAAGACCTAGAAAGAACTGCCTGCCCTCCACGGCTTAGAAGCACACAGTCACCCAGAGAGGTGAGCATCGGCTTCTATTTTCTGCCTCTCCCCCGAAATACAATAGCACACTTGAGCTATGAGGTCTGCCCCCAACCCCCAACTGATATTTAAACTTGACCTTTTACATGCGGTTGGGCTGAGGTTATTTATTTTTTTAATGACTGATTAGAATCCAAGTTAGTGGTTCATCAAAGTGAAGATTTTTTTTTCCCCCTAACGATTTTCTTATTTACACAACTCAGGGTACCTCACGTGAAAAGATCAGCGCAGGCTCCACTAAGCAAGACTGGCAGCATTTGAAGCCTGTGAACATTCTAGCAAGCCACAGAAATCCTCGCACATGCATTCTGGAAGGCTTAGGTAGCCTCCTGCTTGCTGTCTCTTTTGCCATCTCTCCTGATGAGAGGAGCCATAACTATGACATTCTTTTTAGGACAAGAGAGAAAAAGGAAAAAAAAGAAAAAGGAAAAAAAAAAGCCCACTCTATCCCTTAATGGGTACAAAGGCCAGGCAACATTCACATAACACGCACGGTGTTTAGTTAAAGCAGAAACTGCCCAGAGGGTAAGGCAAGGAGCAAACATATATTTGTTTCTGATGCCAACCACCTGAAGCAGCAAATCTTTCCCACTTTTTAAATTTAACCTCAGTGCATCAATACTGCTCTGAAGAGAAATTCAGCTGTCACTTGCTGGATGCCTGAGTAAAACTGGAAGTCCTTAGAACGCTCAGAGAAAAGAAGACCCTGTTCCCATCCCAGGCTCTTAAGATGAAATGCAAATCATAGAACACAGCAGTGGTGAGAGGAGCCGGGGACAGGCAAGCCCAAACTCACACAGACCGCAGAGGAACTCCAGGGCTTTAGGATCTCACAAATCACAAATTCATGAGGCTAGGAGGAACTTATGAGATGGAGGAACCTCACCCAGTTGGGAGGGGATCCCTTCCTGAGTAGGAGCCCAGCAGGTCTTCACTCTCAACCCGGCTGGAATAGTCTCAGAAAGGAGCAGGCGCCATCTCCTTCCACACAACCAACCTTAGCCCTGGGGATCTGCACCCTGGCATGTGAGCCCACTAGGAACTAGAGCCTGAGGGAAGCACGTGGATTACAAAACACATCCTAGGATGAACAGCAGAAGCAGAGCCTCATGCAGGTGTTCTGTGGCTGCCTGGCTACTCAGGAAACACCCAGATGCCCCATAAGCGACCCTTCCTCAGTGGAGTGTGCTAATTTCATCTGAAGGGACGTCTGGGAAGACACTCACAGGGTCTCAAGTCTAACACCCTGTCTCCTAAGAGCGGCTGAACCAGACCAGTACAAGGGGTGCTAACTTTAAAGTCCTCCGGAAAGTAAGGAACCATGAGAACAAAACTGTGAGCAAGAGAATATTTCACAAAACCCCTCTTCATACCTTCTACAAAACCCAGCGATCTCTAGTAACACCTAGAGCTATTTTATAAATGGCCTAAGAGAAAAAAAAAATCAGTGGAGCTGCAGATAGAACTGGAAGTTACACCTTTTTTTCATTTGCATATGCTGCTTTCTCCTACTGAGGTTATCCAACCGCAGTTAGTTACAGCCCTCTTGACACTTCCTGTCACCCTCCACATCCACTCAAGCTTTGTGACTGTCATCATCTCAACAGACCTTGTGGCCCAAGGAAGGCACAGGATATCTCCAAAGACTCACCTCATCTGACAAGTGGTGACATTGGAAACACAAGGGCCCTTCTTAACTGAGCTGGATAAAGTCCCTGGAGGGAAGAGCTCTATTCTCTTCAGGAATTATGTGTGGCTCTCCCGCTGGTATCTAGAACACCAGGATTCATTCCTCTGTTTCTTCTGTACCTACCACAATACCCAGGATAATGTGTGATGGACTGCAGAGTCATGGGTACTTGGTAGAAAAGCAAAATCGTTTCTCTCCTTCGCAATTCAAGCCTTCATTACCCATTTTAAAGGTAATGAAACAGACCTCAGTTTGACCCAATATGAACCCCTCCATTTTCTGTCTTTGTTCCATCCACATCATGTCTGCTTGACTCCAAAGATCTACCTCCCCAGGTTTTAAATCACCAGACAGAAAACTCCAATTCCAAGTGGATTAAACCAACAACAAAACAACCTTAAGAGCATCGAAGCCCATCTTCTATGGTGCATGGAGACAAAGAACATGACGGATCCCTCTGTCTTTATGATTAACCAGTGGGTAAGACATCCTTAGGACATTTAGTAATAAAGGATCATAAAGGATCAACAGGTTAATGTTTCAAAATGGAACTCAAGATTAAAATATCACAAATTCAAAGTGAAATAAATAAAAGCAGGAAAAGCAAAGAGAATGCTTTCAAATATAATTCATCAGCAAAAAATATTATCACTGAAACACCAGACAAACAGAGACCCGCCGGCCAGTGAGGTCTCACCCCCTGGTATCCACCTAAACCATCTCCGAATGAAGGCACTTGCTCACACTTTGCTGCCAAGAACAACTCATTCCCACGTCAGTAATGGGATATCTCTTAACTCAGGCCATTGCTGCTGATCCCAACAGGGTTAGTTAGCAGTCAGGGAATGGCAATCAGGCAGGACCCCCAACTGAGGCATAAGAGGTGGGTGCGAGAGTGGCTCAACCACCATGCTGGCCTTCACAAACCAGTCTGTAACCTTTCTTGCTAAAATGATTCTCACAAAAGTGGCTGTGACTCTTTCTACCTACAGACCCAGTTTTCAGCATCCAGATCCTATATACCCTTGGCCTTCGTTGTAGATACATTAAGTCAATTATTAAGACTCGATGCTATGGTTTGGACAAACGTCCCTCCAAGGCCCGTGTGTCAAAAGACCTTCTCCCCAGAATGTGGCACTACTGGGTGGTAGAACCTTTAAGAGGTGGGGCCTAGTCTTCATGCCCATAGGGGCATGTACGCATGAAAAGGATGCGGGGACCCTGGCCTCCCTCTTCCTCTCACTTCCTGGTCACCGTGAGATAAGCAGCTTCCTTTGCCCTGTACTCTTGCCCTGATGTACTGCCTCACCACAGGCCCAAAAGAGTGTGAGGCCAACTGACTGTGGACTGAAGCTTTCAAAGCTGTGAGCCAAGATAAACCTTTTATCTTTATAAGCTGACTATCTCTGGCATTTGTTACAGCAACAGCCAACTAACAAACTAGTGACTGGACATGGCCAGCTCCTCTAAAGCACAGCTACCACTCAGGGCAGCAAAAGGCTCCATTAACCAGCTCCCAACTGCTATTCAAACTTAGCTTTCTTTGACAGACAACTTTACAATTCATTCATTTTTCATCTATCACACCACTCATTAGGATGTCCCCAGGGCAATTTAATTCCCAATTAATTCCCAACTACACTAATCACCATCATCCAAAATAATAAAGAAGAACACGTCTCTTTCATCAAGATCCTCATAAACACAAGGAGAACTCTGAGAAATCTCTGGGTAGCTCTCAGTTCAGCAGAAAAACCAGCCTTTGGTTATTGGAATAAGGTATGCTACGGTTTCAAATTTCTCTTATTGAGATGATTGTCCCGATTTAAATTATTGAGATAATTGTCCCTATTCCTCTTATTGAGATGATTGTCCCAGCTACAGTTTCCTGTAAGTTTTAATAAATATTTAATGGAACCCAAAAGTTTTGAGTGATTATGGCGATTTTTCAAATTGAGAAAGAGAGAAAGGACAGAATGGGAATAGAAAGGAAGGTTGACCATAAGCCAAAAACTAGAGGAAACACTTAAATTTTAATCCTGGCCCTATGTAGCCAGAGTACAATCACAGCTCTGTTGAGTGCATAAGATCTTCCATATGTACACAGAGTTCAGGGGATTCTTGAGGAAAAAAAATACTTGATTGGAAGACACTCCACTTTACACAAGGCAACTCAAGGAGGTAAAAACCAACCGGACTCCCTCAGCCCATCTCCACTTTCCCCAGTGAACCGCCTACCCTTAAAACAGACAAACACGTGGTCAGCCTCACCTAGAGCAGGCGTCATGGCGGCCATGGGCCCTGTGGGATCCAGCTGGAATCCACTCATCATGAACTGGGCGTCAGAGGCGGCACTGTCCATCTTCAGGTTGGGCAGGTTCATGTTCTGGGCCAGGTAGTACTGGTACAGCTCGGCCTCTGCGGGCGAGGGCAGGCTGCCCAGGCCCAGGTGGCGGTTGTGCTGGATCTGGGTCATGTTCTGCTGCAGCAGCATCATGTTGTGCATGTGCTTCTCACTGGTCATGTGAATGCGGAGGTTCCTAGCCACGTTGGTCTCGTAATCACACACCTCGCACCGCCATGTGGGTTTGGTTTTTGGTTTGGTGGGCGAGGGGGCCCCGCAGGAGCTACTGATGTTGGCTGCTGCTGCTGCTGCAGCTGCCGCTGCCGCCGCCGCCCCAGCGGTGTGGCTGAAGACCTGCTCCCCGCCTCCATTCTGCAGGTTCTGCATGTTGTTGAGATGCTTGTCGGACTGCATGTGAATACTGAGGTTGCCTTTGGTCGTTGTGGAGTAGTTACACACCTCGCAGCGGAAAGGCTTGTAACCACACGTGTAGCTCTCGCCTCGTGCCAACCGGGGGTGGGGCTGCCCGCTTTTGCAGTAGACGCAGGAGCCCCCAGGCTCCGGGTGCTTCTCCTTCATGTGTGCCTCCAGCGTCTGCTGGTACTTATAGTGCCAGTTGCACTTGGGGCACTTGAGTGTCTTACACGAGTTACGAGAATGCATCATGGTCATGTGGCCGCCCAGCGAGCGGGAGGAGCCCAGGACCGTGTCGCATTTGGGGCACTCCACGCCACTCCCCGAGGGGCACTCCCCAACCCCCAGCTCGCAGAGGGAGCCAGCGTGCTGGTGATGGGGGACAAAGCCCCCATCGTCGCCCTCTGTGCTTTCATTTGGTTCTGGTGCTGTGGCATTGTCTTTATTGGCACTTTCGTCAGCGAAGTCCAGCCTCCTGCCGCCCTCTGCCACATTGGCCCTGACGCCCTCACTGTTAAAGCTTAAACGATTCCTCCTGTTCGCACCATCAAAGACAACAAAGGAAGAAGCGGAATTAGAACTAGTAGAAGCTGTGCCCCTCGACAGGGTCTGGAGCACATTAGGCATTAAGGGGGAGTTAGAAATGCTTTGGTTTGAGAGAGCAAGGTCCTTTTTGCTGCTACCACCTGCCGCGGCCCCGGGCTCCTCGGGGGGCCTGTCCTCCAGCTCATCTTCCAACTCACTTGGAAAGAGTCCTTTGCAACCCTCGTCTTCCTCCTCYTCTTCTTCCTCCTCCTCCTCTTCTTCCTCCTCCTCCGCCTCTTCTTCTTCCTCTTCCTCTTCCGCCTCCTCCTCGGCTGGCTCTGCTTTCTCGGAGAAGCAATCGGGGTCGCCCACTTCTTGCTTCTCTCCTTCAGCTGCCCCAGAGTCCTTGCCCTCTGAGGATTTGGTAGGACTGGAAGCCAGAGGCCCCAGGGGGACTGAGGTAATGGGGGTCTTCAGGACCGAGCTGGTGAGCCCGCCAAGGTTCAAGAGGGTGCTGGGGGTCAAGAGACCAGCCTGGGGCTGCTCAGGGCCAGTGGCAGAGCCGGCTGGGAGAGCCTCCTCCCCTTCCATTCGAATGCCACTAAATTTACCATAAAAACTATGTCCGGGGCCTATGAGGTTAGCTGTGGAAACTAAAGGGTGTTGAAAGTTTTTGTTTTTTGGTTCCAGAAAACTTACAAGGGGTTCCTTGTCTTTGCCGATCCCTTGGATGATAGCGGAGATGTTCTTATTGCTAAGAATTTTCCGCTCGTCTTCACTCAGGGTCATTCGATGGTCGTGCACCGCGTGGGTCACAAATGAACGGACGTACCCGAAGGAGAGTTTGCACAAGAAACACATCAGGATGGGCTTCCTCTTGCCGTAGAGCACAAAGCCATCGAATTTGGACAGGTCCACATTGTTGGGAACATCTTTGGATACGCAGGAGCTTTTGGCAGAACCGTCGCTGTTCAGGTAATCCTTGTTGCTTTTGTGTCGCACGTCAAAAACGCGGAAGCTGTGCAGGACGGGGCTGAGCCCCGCCAGGGCTGAGGTATTCGGGAAAGCCTGGTCTGAGCCCTCAAACCATTTCCCGAAGGATGAGGCTATGTGGAAAGTGTTGATGATCTGCGGGTACACGGGTGCAGCACACGAAGGGTCCCCTTGCTTGCCCCCCGCCCCGGGGAGAGAGTTCAGGAAGAGCGAGGGGACAGGCCCGCTGCCGCTGCCGCACGCGCCCCCGCCCTGGGTCAGCTGGCTCAGGCTCTCCACGATGTACGCGGAGCCGTCGGGCTGGTAGACGATCTCCCCGGCCAGGTTCTCCACGTCGCTCTCCTCGTCGCCCTCCTCGCTGGTGTCGCTGGCGCTCTCCTCTCGCAGGGGCGGCGGCGGGCGCGCGCCGGGGCAGTGGTGCTCCATGTAGGTCTGCAGGCTGGCGAAGGAGGCGGCGCACTCGTTGCAGCTCACCTCCTTGCTGGCGGGCTCGGCGGGGGCCCCGGCCGAGGCGCTGCTCTCCGCGAGGCGCTCATTGAAGGGGGCCCTCAGGCCGTCCAGGGGCCCGTGGCTCTCGCCTGTGGGCTGCTCCATGCTACTGGGTTTGTCGGGGAGGTGGGTGCTGTTGAGTTCAGTCCATTGCCGGTGCTGAGGGATACCGCACCCATTGTCCTTCCCCGAGACGACGGGCGAGTCACAGCCTTCCATGGTAAGGCCTGCGTGGAGCTTTCATTGCACCCAGTAAGGATCGGACCTGAAGGGCGGAGGCAAGGGGGGAGGAGGGAGAGAAGGGAAAGAGAGAGAGAAAGGAAAGAGGTTAGGAGGGCCGAGGCTAAGGTCCCGCGCACACGGAGCGCTCTAAGAGGCTTCTGTCCACACCCACAACACAGAGCCCAGGGCCAGCCTGGCACAAGGCAGGCCTGGGGACCTCGCCCCACGCAGGCCAGCACGCAGAGGGCCAGCAGCACCTGTGGGCATCACCGCCGGGTCCAAGCAAGGGGAGGGGCACGGAGAAAAGGGGTCAGGAGCACAAGTCTTTGACTTCAGGTGGCCCTCTTCTTCTACCCCTGGAGACCAGTTCCAATTGCCAGCACAGCTTCAAGTCAGGGCCAGCAATGAGCCACAGTGCAGGAGGGCTGTCACCTCTCCAGCCCCCACAGGAGATCACAGAATCCAGGGCCTCCCACATACAGATGACCCACACACAGTCATCCAGGGCTGACTGCACTGTCAGTGGGACAGGGGGACACCAGGTAGGGACAAAGTGGAGGAATGTTTAGCATCCTCAAAAAGAGGATGGACAACTAGGACAAGTTGGCTGATGTAGAGAAATCCCTGCTGCTGCTTTTACTGACCATGCATCTACTTTGGCAAAGAAGATCTCTGAAAACTACAAGGTTCAGAGAGCCAGCCTACAGGCTTGGACACACCCCCACGATGTCCCCAGGAAGACCAGTGGCTGCATCCCTCCTYTGCAGGACTCTCATAAGCATCAGTCCCATTCCCTAACCAGTAAAACAGAAGGGCTGAATCTCCAAACAGGCCCAGTGCCAATTCTGACCACAAAGCAGAAGACAGGTCCCCAAATTCCCATCTGCTCCACCCCAAACTTGAGAGCTCCCTGGACTTGGTTGGTTTTAGACTAAGAATATGTAGATGCAAAGCATGAGTTTGATATTTCCAATGAGAACCAGCCAGATTCTCGATTTGGCAACTCCCYCTCAGAAAGTTCTACCTCATCCTGTCTGCAGAAGCCCACTGACAGTGTGCTTGGTGGCTTTTGCTATCTTGATCTTAGCCCAAGTCCAGACAGCAGCTGGGCTCAGCAAGCCCCAGTTCCACACCTGCCTTTTAGGATATTAGTTGGTACCCAAGCAGCTGTCTTGCAGCCCTAGGGCTTTTCCGCTTCCGAATGCCACTGATCTGAACTTGCTCTGAGATCTTGTGTCCCTGGGGAAGGCAGCACCAGATCACCAGCCACCAGGCTCCTGTGGCAACTTTATCGCTGGGGCACTTCTGTCGAGATACTGCTACAAGCAACTTAGCACCTTTCACAGCCTGATCATTTACCCACAGACCCCAGGCCATCTTCCCCTGCTCCTCGTCCTCGGAGGACACTTGGCCATGTCTCCACCCACCATCTCATTCATCTCATCTCATCTTCATCAGCAGATGAAGGCTGTAGCTGCTTAGTCTCCCTCTATCCTCTGCAATCCCCATCTTTTCATTCTTTTTTCATGATTCTTGACTGCACAGTGAGCCAACAGCTCCCCCTCGGGAAAAGATGGAGAAGTCATATTTACCAGAAGTCTCAGGAGAAATAACTTTTTGAAAGAATGTGCCATGATTTACTTAAAACACACGTGCACAAACACTCACTTTTCAATTTATAATGTCAGACTCCATGTCAACAAAGTTCTGCATGCCTTGGAAAAGACATGTTCGTTTGAAACAGAGGTGACTACACTAAACCAAATCCAATGGCAGATGCAATGGGACTTCTCTCAAGGCTTAGCTGGGATACAGGTGAGAATCCAGAGAGGCTCTTCTTAAGGATGCTCCTGATTGGCCGGACAACATCTGATTGACAGCTCAGGCCAAAAAGGTTGGCAGGCCTGAAGGGGCGGGAGGGTTAACAGCCCAATTGTAAAATCAATGTCATAAATGCTTGGTAAGTTACAGGAACATGCGGGAAGGGGAGGCCACGATTGATAAAGGAGAACAGCTTTGATGCTGCACCAGGGACTTGTTTATCGACAGCAAAGCCAATCTCCTCTCCAGCCTGGGCTGGGCCAGAGAAACCTGCAAGCGTTTACCAATTAATTGGTGGGCTTTTCTTGCTCTGCTCTCTTCTTCCTCCTCCTCTTCCATAAACTATCCAGCTAAGGAGCTCAGACTTTTAAAAAAAAAATGCCCTTAGTTTTTTTTTTTTTATTACAAAGCAGAAAGTGTCAAGATCTGATGACATTAGGACAACTTCTGAAAGACATGACCCTGTGGTGGTGACACCAGGGCTGCTCATTCACAGGAGTGATGGCCCACTGAGATACAGGTGGGAAAGGAGGATTTCATTTCTGGATCCATGCTGCTTGCTCTGGGCTTCCTTTCCACGCCTGGTGGCCATGAGGAGCAGAACCCTTGGCAACCTTGCTAAAGAGTCAAGTGTGGCTCATGGACTAGTAGCCCCGTCCTCAGTAGGGAGCTTGGGAAATGCAGACTCTTAGCTCCCAGCAACCCCTACCATGAGAATCTGCATTTTTTAATACCATTCTTAGGAAATGTGAATCAAACTTGGAGACTCTGCCTCACAACATCTTGGCCAGGTGGCTGGCTCATCTGTGCTTGGCACCTGTACTGCCAGGTAACCAGTGAAGGGCAGCCTTAGCCCTACCACCCAGTCCCTGGGAGGTACAGGGATGGGAATGGACAAGGCGGACAGGAGCCCTGACATGAAGAAATCTCTTCATCCTGCCCGGTCCTGCAGCTCAAGGACCTCGGGGCATCCACCACTCTCCCACCCAGCCGGCCGCCGAGCTCGCTGTTTATCAGCCAGTCAATAAGAAAAAGGTAGTTCTTACTTAAGGAGGCAGAAGTCAACTCGGCAGGTCGATCAGCACTCTGTCTGTAAACATGGTTTCCCGTAAAATCAATGATCTTCAGTTACAGAGGGCAGCCTGGGAACCAAGAGGGTCCCCGCGCTTTCACAGGCAGCCCCGCCAGCCAGAGTTCGCGCGCCTCTCTCCTCAGGCCCCCCAGGCTGTGTGCCCTGTCCCCATCCCTGGCTCACACACGAGTCCTCAACCCTTCCTGCAGCCTGCTCCTCCTTCCACTGAACACACCCCAACTTCCCTTTAAATGTCCAGGGGGGCTCTCGCAACCCCCAGTGTTATACTCATTACCGTTGTTTAAGAATTCAGTCGGATTTTAATAAAGTGCATCTCTCCAATGACAACACTCAAGAGAAGACACACAAGGATCTTGATAGTATCCGTACATAAGCGCACATGTGCGCCCTCGTCCTCTCTCTCCCTCTCCCTCTCCCCCTGTCTTCTGAGCCTTTAAATCTGCCACTGGAAACTTCAGAAGAAAAGTTCTGACACCTTCATCAAGAACACCCCACCCCTTATCCATCTCCCAGTGTATGCAGTTCCCCCGGTAAAGCCCACCCATCTCTGCAGGTATTTGCTTCTACTTTTCAAAGTCTGCGCCCATAGAAGGATAAAACTATACCATGTGCCCCGTGGGCCCCTGTTAATCAAGGCGTCCCTCTCCCTTCCCTAAGCTAAAAAGATGTGCCGTGACAGTTCTATGGCATTTCCAGAAGGAGACAGTTATGGAGAAGACTAGAAAAGGGGAGAAAGCAACAGTTACAGAGGCTGGCGAGGGGAGGCGGTTATGAGGGAGGGGAGGGGGCCCCTGCTGTTGCTCCGGCTCCCAGAGAATTAAACATGAACAGTCGCACTGTGTAATTTTAAATTGTTAATTAGCACAGGGTTAATTAGGCGGTCCTTTCACAAGGGGCTCTTTGGCAGAAAACCAAGAAGGGAAACAAAGGGAAGGAAAGAAAAAACAAAGAGAATAGAGACAGCCAGAAACTGTTGCCTCCATGAAATACCCACAGGGTATCCCCAGAGACCACTGGTCTGGAAACTCTGGGTGCTCCTGCCCTGTCCCAGGGAGATGAAGCACATACTGCCTTCCCACGGGCACCCCCGCAGGACAGCAGGAGCCCCGAAGGTGCACAAGCCCTTTGACTCAGCGATTTCTCCATCCTAGGAATTTATCCCAAGGAAACAACCTTATTTGGAGATATAGGATTATTCATAACAGAAAAAAAAAAAAAGATGGAAATAATCAGGCAAAAACAGAGACTAAATAAGTTATAGTGTACAGAGCTCCATGTGTTGTTATAAAAAAAAATGACTTCTTCAAAGAAATTGTTTATGGGCATGGGAAAATGATCAGATGCTAAGTGAATGAAGCATATATGGGTATGCATATAAAAACATGAGATATTTCTATCAAAATTTTTACGATGGCAATTTCTAGGAGAGGAGGTTATAGATGACTTCATTTCCTCTTCTGTGCCTTTATTTCCCAAAGCTTTTTAAAGTTAAAGCCTCGTAACTGCAGCCATGGCTTTCCTGAGTCAGGCACTGTGGGAAGGCCTGTGGGCTCAACCCCACCTCGATCCTGATAACCGCTCTATGACATGGGGGCTATTTTATTCCCATTTTAAAGATAGAAAAACTGAGATTGCYCAAGGTTGTACGTCCTAAAGGACAATGTCTACTTCCCAAGACAAGAACAGATGTGATATCCAGTGTTCACATTCAATCTTTAGTACCTGGGACTAGGATCAAGCTACCAGGACTGCTAATGTAAAAGAACACAGCCACGCCCACCCCCAAATGCCCTTTCCTTTCCTGGGGGGGAGTGATGCTGGAGGACTCAAGTGTACTTCTTCACATGGATACCTTCAGACAGGCAGAAGGGGACAAGATGGGGAAGGGCAGCCGCAGCTAAGAAATGGGAAACTCAGAAAACCCACATAAAAGAAACAGAAAACAGCCTTGCTTAGACTCACTGACCTGAGAAATGCAGTTAAAAAACAACAACATTGGGAGCAGTGGCGCATGACTATAATCTCAGCTCAGGAGGCTGAGGTAGGAGAATCAAAAGTTCAAAGCCAGCCTCAGCAACTTAGCAAGGTCCTAAGCAACTTAGTGAGACCCTGTCTCAAAATGAAAAATA